CCAGAGAGCTCTTTCCAAATGATGCAGATCCATTAATCAGCATGCCTTTATGACAGATAGTAAACAGGTATAAACCACCTAACTTTATTGTACCTAACTCACATTTCAACATAGGGGTATCATGAGGGACACTCTCAAATACTTCATTGCTAAAAGCGATGATTTTAACATCCTTCCTGCTCTATAGTTAATAACTGTATTAACAGGAGTAGAGAAAATTACCTCTTCTTAGGGAACTAATACTGCCTTTTTAAGGATCATTACCTCCTTTAACAGGCCTTCATTACCTATTTTTTTTTGTTTTAGCTAACCCCTTCTAGAATCATACCTAGGATTGCCCTAAGACTCCCTAGTCATGATCTATCTTAAGTTGATTGGATATTAGAATTCATTTTTCAGTATTCATTTAATACTCAGTATTCAGTCAACAAATGTTTGGAGAGTACCCAGTGCTATATCAGACACATAAAGACCCTTAGTCCTATAAAAGGAGCAGAACTGAATAGGAAACTGCTATAGAACTGAATAAGCTAGTATGCAATGCTAAGTTTGATTACACAGATCATAAGTGCTAAAGAAATTTAGAGAAATTGAAGTATTCTAGGCAGCAGTGGTCATAGTCTAAATATCTTTTTGAGAACAGATTTTTTTCTGCCTCAACATAGGTGAGGAGAACCGACACTTTCTTGTCAGTAATACTGGCTTGTTATAGGATTGATTGTCAGGAGGCCACAATCCAGTTGAGAATCTCTGTATGCAGAGGAGAGGAGAGGGGCTTCCTTCACATAAAGGAAACAGCATTAGTAAGACAGTGCAGTGGGAATGAACATTAGATATTTAAATTCTAATACTGTGTTTCTTAGTTATGATTAGATGACTGTTGGATAAAGGTTAGTTGGATAGACAGCCATTGCAAAAATAATAAAAATCCAAAAGAATAAATAAATGCTGTAGTACTCTTTTACTTGTTATATTCACTATTAATGAAAAGAGAAAAAAATGTTGATGGTCTACATGCCAGGCAGAAAAGTGGAGAATGTGAAGTTCTGTGATGTTGGGTGCAGTATACATGCATACATTGTACCTTCTGATCTCCATGAGATAAAAAAAAGTCTGAATTCTTGAAAAACTGACCTTACAGTTCTGTAGGGACAGTGAAAGTTACTGAATTGAGTAAATCACAAGGCAGATCTAGAATGAGAACTCAGATTATCTTGATTCTTATCAATTTTAGCAAGAAACTTTATCTTTGAACAGTTATCTTTCCTTTGAACAGATGTTTCCTTAGTAAGTTTTTGAGCAGGTAAGTTCCTTCCATATGTTATCAAATCAGTACCCGTTTCCCCCGCTATCGGAAAGTAGAGGGTCCTATGAAACCTTTCCTAAGCCGAAATGGTGTAAAGCAAAGAAGCAGTTACTGTTAATTTCTGTGGGAAAAATTTTTTGAGCATTCCCTGACCCCAAAAATAACCTACCACGTCATACCAAATAACACATGAAATCTAAAACAACACTAACGTATAGTAAAAGCTGAGATGCTGAGTGTTGAAGAAGCTTGGTGATGACACTCTTGCTGTTAACGGGTGTGCACTGCCTCTTTAACAGCTTGCTGCAAGATAAACGCCGAACTCTTTTTTTTTTAAAACTGATTTTTTTATTATTATTATGTTGCATTTTCAGTGAGAGCTCACCCAGAAAATTAGACAATTTGACAGTCTACACAAATTTACAAATTGTTCAGTGACATTAGTTACATTTTTCACAATATGTCAACATTTTCTTTAATTGCGTTCTGGTTTTTCCGTT